GCCGTGGCGTTCTATGGCGCCGCCATGACCGCCATCATTCACAAATTTTGCATGGCGGATTGTCAAAAATCCGCCACGCCATACCGCCATGGCCGCCATTTGATAACACTGTCCTCCACTAAATCCTCTTTCTTCCCGGTGGCAGCTAAAGGATTCCACTAACTCCTGTTTCTTCCTGCTCGCGACTAAAATTGTGGAAAATTAAACCGTGCCCTACATTTAACCATTTGTTCTATTTTCCTCTGACAATTACTTGTATAACAACAGACCATTTGCATTATTTTTCCTCATCTGACAATGGAAGATGAAAACTTCCTGCATTCAGGTAATAAATTTGTCTTTATGAACAGAGATTTCATTTTTTGTGTCATGTATCAAGCAGAAAATCTATTTAATGTCCCAAATTCTATTATCATTTTTCAGAAGTAATGGTGATTTTTTTGCATCTTATAGGAGGTGAGAGCATGGAAAATGTTTTGATTGTGGACTCGGAAAAAGTGAACTTTAATGAGATTGCAAATGATCTAGATGAACTTTAATGAGATTGCAAATGTCCTGAGAAATATGCTCTCTTCTTTCGAAAAACAACTAGTCGAACTTGGGTTTTTGTCACAGACATTTGGTTTTTTCAACTTAACAGGTAGTGGAACAAAAATTACGCGGATCCTATTAGCGTTCCACAGGATTTTTGTTTTGAGAAACGCTGAGTTATGTGTGCATAACATTAAAACCGCATGTTAATTTGTTGTCTATGATTAAACTCGTGTTATTTAGTTGTCTGTGATTATGTAGTAGTCTACTAACGACAATATCGATGCTCCATGGCATTGTTCTGGTTTTCTTCGGTTGAAAAGAAAAAAGTAACTAATATCGGGAAGAATATAATGATCTTTATTTATTTATTTATCTTGATAATATTAAGTTAAACAGTGAGCCAGTGTTATATATAGTATGTGTACATGCCATGTATATAGTATATTATTCTATATTGAGTAATGGATACTTATGTAATTCATTATAATTACCAAATTACGATCACTAAACTATATATATAAAAATTATATATATTGCAAATAAAACTTTATAATGTAGCATTACATAATATGCTTTTTTAATAGTAAATGGATGTCTATTTATCACATAATACAATTTTTTTTAATATACTTGTAAATGGGTGTCTATTTATTTGTGAAGTTTATTATATGCCTATCTGCATTCGACCCAAACAATGTTGAAGTAGGTTTAGTGTGCTATTTTTGGTTGCCATGAAATTCCTTTTCGACTCGATTATCCATCTTGTTTCTTTAACATCGGCAGTTGTTTTTCTCAGTTTGATGGAAGTTGATCATAGGGTGGAGGCCCGGTTTGAGTCTTAGTATTAAAAGTTGCAGAATGTTTTCAGGACAGCTTCGCAAGTAGACTTGAATATTGTGTAGTTTGTTTAGTTTTAACTGTTTCTGTCAGATTCGATACTCGGTAAAAATATATTTTTCTACAACAGAAGTTGCAGAATAGTTTCAGTACAGGATAGCAAGTAGACTGGAATATTGTGTATTTTGTTTAGTTTTAATTGTTTATGCGTGATTGTGTTAAGAGTTTGGAAATTTTATAGCTTGTATTTTTGTATTTTGGTTTGACCCTGCCTCAACTTTAGAAGTTAGTCTTCTGGAAAAATAGTTTGTTATTTGTTTTTGGAACTTGAAAAAAATCATATGACATTATTTTTTAGAGTTGAACCAGAGTTTCCATATCTAGGCGCTATAGGTTTGTGGTCCTCAGTTCGTCTATGGTATGTCGGACTGGGTTGTGTGTTGGTTCGTGTGACGACAACGGTGGGTTTGCTAGAAGTAGAGGAATTATTCTATTTTATAAGTGTAGTCTATTTTCTTATTTTTCTTTAGTTATTTACAATCCAGTTATGTCTAGCTTTTAAGTCTTCGTGTTTTTACTTTGTAAGTGTATCGACTTTTTTCTTATCTTTTAAGTAACTTAAAAGATACTTGGACGAAGAGGGGTTAGTGCAGTGGCGCGTATCTTTGCTCGGCGTGTACCATGTCCCGAGTTCGAGTCACCCAATTCTAAAAACAGTCAGTCAAAATAATTAATTCAAAAATTCAACTCAGGTTTCCAAATCCAGCATTTGATTTGAAGATCGAAGGCCCAGCATTGAAAATCCCTTTCGCATTTATATATCTTAGCTTAGCCCACTTCGATGGAAAGCAAATTATGTCAAAGAAAGATGGTTGGCTTCTTCCTTACGGCCCCCAATCTATTATTTCAGAAACAAGAAGTATTGGATTCTCTTTCGGATAGGCCCTGAAAGGAGAAGGGCTGTGTTAGGAGAGAAGGATTCCAACCCACACTTGCCAGTACCAGAACCGATGGTTATTCGCGACCTGAAGTAGCAAAGCTCTGGGTAAAAATAGCACTTGGCCTGATTATTGTACTTCGCTCGGCGTGTACTATGTCTCGAGTTCGAGTCACCCGGGGGGAATTGGGGAACCAGCATTTATCCCCCAAAGAA